CTAATGCTTGTCACTGCACCTGTTCTATATTTTTCTAGTGTCCACCCCTAATCCAGTAATGGAACATTCCATAATGGGTCTTGTCAGGCCAGGGTCTTTAGAACTCAGCTCAACAGTGCAGTGGCCCATGGAGAAATGATCTGACTTAGTTCAGATAATCTCATTCTTTCCAGTACCTGCCTTTTTGTCATCGACCAACACAGCAACTGTAGATCAGCTGTAGATCGGCTTGGGAAAATGCAGACTTAACTCCAGTTAAAGGGGTGTGACAGGCTTGTTAGAGGATGTTGTTATGCTTAAAGGATGCCAAGTTCCTGTCTTCAGCAGCAGACTGAAGAACTTAAGTCAGACAAGCTAATTACAGAGCACTTGATCCTGAGAACTCTGCCAGGAAAGGAAGCCGGGCTCCCAGAAGGAAACCCGGGGAGACTGACTCTAGTCCCAGGGCTGGGATAGCCCCATGATATGTACTGTAATATTAATTCACTTTGTCTTCTTTGAAATTTCACAGTCTGAGAAAAATGGACGCGTGTTTATTGAACTGAATCTTCATGGTGTTGGGGAAACAGGAAACACAACAATTTTTTTCATAGGCCAGATCAGGTCACAGTACATTAAAAACAGTGAGCATAAGTACTGTGGTAAAATCAGGAGTTACAGTCATCCATTCAGCTGGGCATGTTGTCAAAGTCAAATGACAACAAACATGACAGGGTAGATTTCCCAGCCAGTGGGTTCTCCCCAGCTACTGTGCAGGAGTTCACTGGGACATCTCCCAATATGGCCAAACCCCTGAATAGCTCTCTGATATTTGATAAGTGCTTGGAGCTGCCTGTCTGTGGGGGCACAGTTCCTTCCCATCTATCCCTGAGGGAGACTGGAGGTTTCTATTTGTTACTGCCCGGCTGCCTCTCACACCTGCCAACCGAGCAGCCGGGAAAATAAATGGCCAACCGTCTGGCGGTCGGCGAAAACCGGGAATGGGCCAGAAATAATTGGACAAGCTTTTTTTTCTGCCCGCCCCGTCCTTTCATCACCCGTGTTCTGAATCTGATTGCACGGAGTATTCCGTGGAGAGACGGAGGGAGAAATTTTGATACGAGCTTGCGCTGCAAAGTGATCCAATTTGCAGTATTGATCCTGTCAGGGCCGCTCTTTATTCCAGTGTATCTAATACGCATGTCGGCTTTCCAAAGGGTGGGTATTTGTGCTTTGCGGTTTCGGAGCCGGATCACGATGCCGTCGATCAAATTTGGCTGTCGGAAGGAAAGCACCCCCGGGGCAATCCGAACGTGAATCTTATCCGTCTCCTCTCCGGGAGAGAGACGAGACACGAGCTGCTATATTTAGTGCCCCAGAAATTTAGGGCTCGGAGTGGCGGATCGTTTAATTGCGTCTGGGCGCGGGCCCTGTTTATGATGCGTGCCGCGTTCAAGGTGTCTGGGTCATGACCCCTTCCATTTGCCGGCACAACCCCTCCCGCGATGCGAAATAAATCTGGCGGGGAGACGGCCCGCCGTGACGCAGCGTCGGGGCGCGGGAAACAATGACGGTGATTGCTTCAGGTGTGCCCGCGTATGTTTGTCTGTTTGTTTGTTATTCTAGTTTTTCACCACCAACGGGTGTTTTCAGTCCTCCGGTAGTCTGTCTTTTTTTGTTGTGCAGTAATTCACTGTTGGGTTTTATGGTGATGGAATGAAGTATCCCAGTTTACATCTAGTTGTTCTCTGTGTTCGGTATTTCATACAAGATGACCTCTAGTCTTACCCTTTTTTCATCAGAGGAATTAAGACCGTAATATATACCAATACCAAATCAGGCAGCAAGTTTGTATAATTTGCAGAAGATGAGTTAGATAGGGGAACATAATTCATATTTATGATATAGCAAAACATGAAGCTTCAAGGTTAACATTATCATATACATGATGAAACAGGTCTTATTTTGTGATCTACATTATATAAAGGCATGTACAAATGCTTATTTCTATCATTAAGTTAATGTGTTCATTATGTAGCTATTGATAGATTAAACTAAGCTGTTTTTATACCTCAGGTAAGATCTAGGTTAAATGATGTAGCAGGAGTGCTGGACAGGTTAGCTTGGGATTATTTGGCACGGAAGAATGGCAAAACTTGCCTGTTTGATAGAATTTTCTTTTTCCCCCCATCTCCTTGCAAGTAAGCAGATATGTATGAAATTCTAAAATCTTAGATTTTTTCTTGAATGTATCGTTTATTTCATTTTTGTACTGTTAGTTTGCGAGACTCTATGAACAAGAGACATTAGAGAAGAAATAATTCTTTACCTTCAAACTTCAAAGAAATCTATTTGCTCGAGAAACTCGACAGAAATAAAATTTAGAACAGCAAAAAAAAAGAGATTGTCATGTTCAGGGTATTTAATTTAAATGTTTTCAAGTTTCTAGAATGAACAGGAGGATATTCTATAACATCAACAAAGCTTAAAGCTCATCATCACAATGTAGAGTCTTTGTAGACTATATAAAGTCCTATATTTAGAATAGAAATACAGAATCTATGCCAGCCAAGTAAGTAAAAATAGATGGATGTTGTCCTCTCAAGGATGGAAATAATTACATAGAACCCATGTCGGATTGTGTGCATGCCAACAATAGCTTCCTTTTTTAATTTGGAAGTTGTCAGCAACATGGGAATTCCTAGGGAATATCCAGTAGCCTGGGACGTACCAAGAGGTCTATCAGAGAAGGGGTGTCATAGCTTTCGGTGAAGTTTTCTAAAATGCATTTTGTCTTGTTGCTTTTGATGACTTGCATGTATATTACCATTCCAAAATAGGCCTCAAGTACAGCTAAGTAAGTAACGCCTATGTATCAGAAGTGTAATTTCACCTTGACCTTGTTTGTATATCATTGGATATCATATATGGTTTAAAATGCCTAACCTTGGAAGAGAGAGAGAGAGATATTTTGCCTTGATTAAACAAATGTTAGAAGGGATCCTATATTGAAAGATTAGGCTCATTGTGGAAACATTGTACCAATGAAATATCTAAACTAATTTTGCCTAACAAGTCAGCGAACACATTTTTTCACAGCTCCTTGTGCGAGCAGAATTAAAGTCGAGGGAAGTCAATAAACTAAGATGAAAGGTTGCGCTGGTCCCGTAATAAGACTCCCTTATTGATTGATGTGGAACCTGGGGTGTCATGTGACCCGCTGAACAGATTCTTAACGACAATATCATTAAGTGGTGTGTTGGATACAAATTGCCCAGACTGTTAAAGGGAGGCCTTTATGAAGCTGTCACGCAGGGAGCTTATGCTCTCTTCGTTTTCCCTGATATCAACAAAGGCGGTTGTACAGTTAGGCAAATAGCGGGGCGTGGGCAGGCTTAACCCTACAGTGTGCAGCACACGCTGCTTTTGTGGTATTGACAATGATGCGGCAACGAAAGGAGATAGATTGCCATAATTTCGAGCTTTGAATTTGAAGCAAGAAATGCTCGTTTTACCCAATGCAGATAGATTTATCATTTGTTGAAGTTCAAGGTAAGGGCAATAAAGTACTGTGAATTTATTCACGTTTGTGAGGACTTGGTAGTTAAATGGCAACTTAGGAGGGGAAAGGATGCTTTTTGCAGTGTATTGAATTTGTGGTTGAAGCAATTTTAGAAACGCAATGCTAGAGAGAGAGAGCACAGTGTACAACAAAAGCTCTCACTGCCAAAACCACTATATATAACTACCTTACAGCTGTACAGTCTTCTTGGACAGGTTGTGGCTTAAAGTTAATGCTTGTGCCTATGGAAAAAGATTTTGGGAATGGCGAAGATTAGTCATTATGGGCAGGTGGTCTGCTCAAAACAGGTGGCCGCTTAGGCATGTTTGACTATACTGCAAATACTTTATTTCACAATGTACAACAAGATGCCAAGTGTGGACAATGGGAAGTAACAGGTTGTTTTCTCTCTCGTTGTGTTTTCCTACAGGCGGTGGTGCCAAGCGATGTTCTCAGGCTTGTGAGGGGGCCTCGTGCATTTTCGTCACCATGGCAACCAACCAGCAACACGACCAAGCAATGCAGCCGGTAAGACGACCAGATTGTCTCACGTAATCAGCTCTGCGAATGACCGAATCACAAGTCTCGTAACGGTTGACACCATTGATAATGCATCCCTCCCCCCTTCCTTTGCATCCCTAAAATCCTAGCCTGGCATCCAGGCGATTTAGGGCCACTCTGATTGCCTGCCGAATAGTGCCAGACTATCCAGTCTACCAGGCTGTAAAAATGCATCCCCTTTCCTTTAATTTGCATCGCAAGAGTCTTACAGAGCTGATCGGTATTGATGGCAGAGCAGGCATCTAACGGTGATTAACAACAGTTACCAAGCAATTGGAAACAATAATACTTCTGCGTGGGAATGAAGTATCTACTAAACTAATTCAATATCCCAGAAAGTATAAGTTCCAAATTTGCCTGAAAAAGAGAGAAAAAATCACTAGGAGTAAAGATAGCGATGCATGCATGGATTGCTTGCATGATTGGCTGTGACGAAGGAAGCAATTCTATGCCAAGTTTTCCTCTCCCTTTATCCAGGTGGAACAGTCCTGGGCTGAACCGTCCAAGGTAGCCTGACCTTCCTCTTCCTGAACCCTACACACCTACTACAGCTGCCTTCTCTTATTGCAGCTTGCAAGTAAAAACAGACTCGAGTGACAGTGTTTCCCCAAAGCTCTTCTAATTCTGAAGTTGTGCCCAAATTTTAAAAGAGAAGAAAAAAATCAATTTTTTTGCGTTGCACTACAAGTGTAGCCTCTATCAGGCTTCGGGAGGCGACTGGAATGAGTAGAAAACTGAACTCTCCACTCTAGCGGACCAACTCCAATCTCTCTGTTTGGCCAATTTCTACTCTTTCCAGCCGGCTCCAGAAGCCTGGCAGAGGCTACTACAAGGACAACGCATCAGCAGAATATACATGTATTGCATCTTTGCAAAATGTTGGGTCAACTTTGCATTAGAATTTTGCCTGTTGCAGATGATATTTTTTCTGACAAAACATTTGAAAACTTACAGACTGGATGTCATCCGGGTTTTGCACAGGCGCAGTATGTTCTACCGACGTGCCTGCAATGAAAACACATTCTAATTGCTAGTTTCCAGTTTGAAAAGAAAAAGAAAAATTCTACAGTGTGCAAGTCCTTGATACTGGCACAAGTCGTTCAACTTTCTTCTGAAAAGCAGCAATTTATATTGCAAACTCAGCAAAGTGCTCAGGACTTAGGTAGGAACAATAAGAACTGACAAGACAAGACAAGTCTTGGTCTGATCAGTGTCTTGAACTGAACAGGCCAACTTGCAAGGGGAAGCACTGCTCTGCATGGATATGCTATATATTATGCAACTCAAACAGCCAACTTTTACAGCTGTAAGGTTAATATCAAATAATTTAAATATGAAAAGGAAAAGGAAAGTAACAGTCAAGCGCAATTTTGTATTTCTCATACATTTTAGTAGTTAAGAAGCACACTTTTGAAAATGGATAATTAACCCTAATTGCAAATGTGTATATTTATGATGAAGAGTATAAGAACATATTTTTGGTATTCTAAGATAATATTTTCTGAACCTTTGCTAAGGATTAAATTACCAATTACGTATGCCACAACACATATGTAATATAAAATCCGTCGGACTCAGACTAGTAAAAGGTTTTGCCTGAAACAATGTTCTCTATGCAATGCATAATGTACATTGTCTAGCATTGGCCAGTTGCTTTAAAATTATTTTAAAAAGTGCATTTACTAAGTCTCTAAAATATTCAACTGTTTCCTAAACCATTTCTAAGAATCCAGTCCTATTCATAAATGGGGTAATGTGGTGACAAAGGTTGGTTTAAAATTTATATACACACCTTGGTAAAATCAGTGTTTTATGATATACTGACACGTAAACTGATTTGAGCAAATGAATGGAAGACACGGTAAAATTTGACTGGGCCTCCTAGGTAAAAGAATGACCTGTTTCCAGATCCACCCTAGAAAAAACTGCCAACCCAAGCCTTTTTTTGTGTGGACCCCTGCAAGGGACATGAATTTTGGTAGCTGATCAACCTTTTCTAGCTCCATGATCTGACCACTGAGTGATGAAACGTTGCGCAATCGGTCTTCTAGCATAGACATAAAAAAAATAGAAGGAACCTCATGCAAGTTTTACTTTGTTAAACTGTATTGTATAAGTGGGATCACTAGTCTAGAGATCTACAAATTCTAGATAATCCCTACCTACCGACCCTAATTTTTTCAGGACTGAAACAGGAAACACAACATTTTTTTTCCTAGGCCCTGTGTAAACTGTAATGCTTGTTGTGTAGAGATGGATACTAGTACTAGTAGTTCTGCAATTAATCTGGTACTTTTTTTTCCTTTTCCCAGACTCAGGAGATGCAGGCACTGCAGAGTCGAATCCCGCTCACGTTTCGGGACCCGGCTGGTGCCCCGCTCCGCAAACTCAGCGTGGACCTGATCAAGACATATAAACATATCAACGAGGTAAACAAAAAAACAAACAAACAAACATCAAGTCTTAACTGACAATCTCGGCTCTTTTCTTCAAGTCCTACCAAATTCATTGGAAAGTGAAACATAACTTGTGACCTTTCCTGAATAGAATTTTAATTCGAAGGGCTTTTTTGAAAATATGGAAATTTTATTTTCGTCTACATTGAATGATGTCTCAATTGTTCACTTTTTAAGCATGTTGAATTTGAACACATCTAAGTATAAGAAACCATTTGGAAAGAAAATATGATTATGTTTCATGTTCCAAAAAATCCTTTTGGTTTCTGATTGGCACTACCTGAATCTACATCCTACATGTATGGTGCAACATTCTTAGTACATGTGGTTGGAAGGGGTTGCTCAAATGTGGTGTGTACCAGTTCTTTATTTATGTGTACATAACTCCACTTTTTCTGCCTATCTGGCCATGCCTTTTTGATCTTCGTTGTTTCTTGGATCTTTTTTTCCGCAAAATAAAGTTGAATCGAGAAAGCGAATGAGGTCTCCATGTAAACTGTGAAAACTTTTGTAAGAGCTCTTACTTCTTAGGCTTTCTCTATTCAATTTAAGGGGGAAAGAATATCTGAGAAACTATTCGTCAAATTGGTGTGGCCGCATCTTTCCACTCATAATGTTCTTCACCATTAGTTCTTCTCCATTTTCCCATGTTTGAGAGAATCACTGTACAGTCAGGGTTCCAAATCCTTTTTTTCTGCACACCTGCACTGATGCAGGTACCATATTGAAAATTACCTGTACCAGACAAATTTTACCTGCACCACTCAGACCTTAGAAAGTATGGCTCACACAAAAACCATTCAGAAACCACTGCCATTATTTTACATTTTAGGTGTTGACAATCAAAAAAGTTGTTGAAAATCTACATTTGTACATAAACCCAGTACGTGGACCAGTGCAGGTTAGGTGCAGGTAGACATCAGAAATACCTGCACAGCTTCAATTTTACCTGCGCTAACCTGCATATGGTATTTTGAGCCCTGACTGTAAATCTTGTGATTTCTTCCTTCTCACTATTAAATCCCCAGGAAGTTTTCTCTTCTCTCTTTGTTTCACCGGTTCTGCCTGAACGTTTAGAGATGTTTTTTTTTTACTTGGTGGAACTGTTGAAGCAGCTAGAAGGAACTGCCTGGTCTCTTTATGTGTTCTCTGTTCTCTGCAAAAACCCACTTGCCAGCCTGACGGCTAACAGTCATTCCAAGACATTCTGTCTGTCCCGACCGCCCTTTTCCGTTTGCCTCCACGTGACCACTCACAGAAAGTACTAACCCCCGTGGCGACATCGCTTGCCATTTTTCACCAGCGACAGGAAAAGGTTTCAAACAGTGAGACATGACGAAACACACCTCTCTGAACCTTACAAGTCAAATCCTTCCAAGTAACAGCAACAAAACTGTCACAAGTTTTGCTTGTAAGGTTCTCTGTGTCTCATACAAGTTTGTTCTTCACTACATTTTATGTTCTCCCTCAAAAGTTTGTCACATTTCATCACTATACTAATCCCGAACTAAACTGGCCCCCGTGCCAGGTTGAAATTTCTTCTTCTTACCCCAAATATTTTTTTTTGTGGTGGTGAGGGTTTAACCGTTTGATGTGGCATGAAGACTAAAGTTTGCCTAACTAGTCCATCTGGGTGAATCTTTCTCCCTAACTATGTCATGAGCACTGCAGAGCCTTGTGGCTTGCCAGTGGGTTTTTGCATGGTGCAGAGAACGGTTGAGAACAATCCTTTGCTTTGGTTTTTAAGAAGTTCTTTTGCTTTGAATCAAGATTGCATTATTTGTGCCACATGCATTTGTTGAGTATCACGATTGATTTCCTAACTGCTCTGCTTTCTGGAGAGTTGTTGGTGATGCTTTTCTCTAACTATATGCCATACTCTATGTTCCTCCTCCATCTTTTACAACCCCCCTCCCCCCTTTCCCTTCATCTGTTGCCCGTCTTCCGTTGTACTTGTAACCGTGAGTTATGATGTCTTCACAATATCTGACTGACACATGCCCCTTCCTACTCTGGTAAGTGGGGAATGGGAGCCAGCCATATACACACTCATATTCTGTATATTGTTATTTATATTATTCATGTCTACTGTGCTTGCAGACCTGAACCACTCTTTTCTTAGCACAAATGCAACACGTAATCTATGTACTGTCTAGATCTGTGCATCTATTCTTAAAATTGGAGATTTGAAATCTGAACTGTTTAGAAGAAGCATGACTAGAAAAAATGTTGAACACAAAAGATCTATTTATGCTGTGAGATAGGGTAGGCTGACCTGGGCCTTTATTATAGTATTTTTATTGCAATTTGAGGTTGTTATTACCAGTTTTCTAACCAGGCAACTTGAGAGCATGACTAATAAACTTTCTGGATTATGGTCATATTTCTACGTATGGTCAAAGTGCTCTTTGATATTTTTCCTTGCATTTTTTCGTAATATTAGTCTTGCTCAGTGCATCAATTTGTGTTTTTATCGGTTCCGTTACTTTATCTCACATCAAATACACCTTTATTTCTTTGGAAAGAGATGAAGCACATTGATCAATTGTCAGAAATACAACTTCAAAATGCTGCTGCATTGTCTAGCAGACATTAAACCCTCTTCCCCACTTACTGGCATTTCTTGCACTTTAAGGCCATACTTATTTGATTAATATGGATGACATCCCTTAGGTTACTCCAAAACTGATGCAAACGTGTAAGGAAAAAAGTTGGGCAAAAAGAAAAGTTGCCTTCATTGTAAAATGTATCAGGAAGTTTGAACAAATGACTGAACATGGTATACGTTATTCTTTTTCTTTCATATCTTTGACTTTGGAAGACTTTCTGGTGCAAACAAGTAACAATTCAAGCAGCTTCTCCTTTTCTTTTGAACCCCTGTCATCCCTCAAGTACTTAAAGAAACAATATATTCCAAATTTTTATTTTTTTTTTGGAAATGGATTAAAATTGATGCACATGGATGTCATCCATATAATCAAGTCAGTGTGGCCTTAAGTATATATAAAACACATCTAAAGACTGGCATGGTGGCTGTGAATGAAAATGCTGTGTTGTGTCAGCAGGTACTGTATGTCAGCATTGGAGCCTGGACGTCCAGTCAATCTGCATGTACACTGGTCTTCTGCTACTGTGGAACATTGCAGAAAGCATGCGGGCATCATCCAGAAAACTGCGATATTGCAAACTCCAAACAGGAAAGTTGTTCAAGTCTTAGGTGTACACAACAGTAATCCTGACGTGTGGTTGTTTCCAGGTTTACTATGCAAAGAAAAAACGGCGGGCTCAACAGGGCCAGGGTGACGACACAAGCCATAAGAAGGAGAGGAAAGTGTACAACGACGGTTATGACGATGACAACTACGACTACATCGTCAGGATAGGAGAGAAGTGGGAGGACAGATACGAGATTGACTCGCTTATAGGGAAAGGATCATTTGGCCAGGTGAGCATCTTTTGTTTTGTACCAATAACCAGTAAACCGCCTTTTAGTGTAACACACCAGTTTTTGTACAGTAGGTACAAGCTGTGTAGAAGAGTGTCCAGAGTGTAAGGTTTGAACCACTCACACTACACTTTTTGAGTGTAGTGGGATCTTTATCATGATGTAGGTTTGGCTCTCCTCAAACACTGGGCCTCTGGCCTTACGCCCGAATCCGAGAAGCTATCTAAAGCTAGGTACTCATCTACACCTGGGTCAAGTGAGGAAATAGGTGTAAAGTGCCTTTCTCAAAGACACAACACCAGGGCATGCCAGAGGTTCAAGCCCAGAACCTTCAGATTCTGAGTCAACAACCCTAACCTCAAAACCTTTTTGCCATCAGTTTTCTTGCCAAAGTTGAACTAACCTCCATCTACACCTGAAAAGAGGACAATACTACACTAGGTATTTTTTATGACGCTAGCTAGTTTTCAAAATAAGGAGGAAAATTTATTAGTATAATTTTGTAATATTAGTTCTTCCACCAGAAACTGATCAGCTAATGTTACTAGACACTATTATAAGTCATCACTTAACTATTGTCTTACTTGTGTGTTTATTGCAGGTGGTGAAGGCATACGATCACGGTGACCAAGAGTATGTTGCCATAAAAATAATCAAGAACAAGAAAGCATTTCTGAATCAAGCACAGATCGAAGTACGGTTGTTAGAACTAATGAACAAGCACGACCCAGAAGGAAAGTGTTACATTGGTAAGTAAAAAATGTCTTTTCTTCACTTTTCGAACGAGTACTATTGTACTTTACAGTAGAGTATTTTTCATGTATTGGACAGAAATGGTCCAAGTTATGAAACTACCTGTGTCAGAGAGTATGTGTAAATATTGTTCCACGAATGTAGTGGAAGACGAAAATCATTTCATCTCTAATTGTTCAATTTATGATGATATCAGAAACCAATTATTTACCATTGTGTCCAAAATACACCTTTAATTTCCTACCACTATTCCCCACCGCCAGAAAACAATCCTACTACCAAAATCAAAGAACCCACATATCATAGAAGAAGTGGGTAATTTCGTCTGCCACAGCCTCAATAGAATAAGTCAAACCCAGCAAAACTAGTATCACGTATGTTGTAGGCATGACGTGATTTACAGTACTTGTCAGCTATAGAAACGGTTCCTTATCATTACAACGTCTGTCCCCCCAACAGTAAAACTTTTGATTGAGCTCATTGGTACTGTATAGTGGAGTATTTTTTCTGAAAATGTTAATGTGAGCTGAAGAAATTGTTTCTCATCATTGTTAATGTCTGTCTCCCCGACAGTAAAACTGAAGCGGCACTTCATGTTCCGTAACCACCTCTGCCTGGTGTTCGAGTTGCTGTCCTACAACCTGTACGACCTGCTGCGGAACACCAACTTCCGGGGCGTGTCGCTCAACCTGACGCGCAAGTTTGCCCAGCAGATGTGCACGGCCCTGCTGTTCCTCTCCACGCCAGAACTCAGCATCATCCACTGTGACCTGAAGCCAGAGAACATTGTCCTGTGCAATCCCAAGAGAAGTGCAATTAAGATTGTGGACTTTGGGAGCTCATGTCAATTAGGACAAAGGGTGAGTTAGCCCAGCGTTATTGTGAGCACGTCGGCAGAACGTACTGCATCTGTGCGAAACCCGGATTTTTCAGTTATCGTTGGATTTCCGACCAATGTTGCATCAGATTTTTTTCCCCATTGCAGACAGTACCTTTTCTGACACAAAGCTTGAAAACTGTACGACCCTAATTTTTTTCAGGATCAAACAGGAAACACAACATTTTTTTTCTTAGGCCTCACCGAAAACTCTTGATGTTCAACTTGAATGAATTTACTTCAGTGTAGTGTAATGTTTTGTTCTGTAGACACATTGATAGATGCAGTTGCCCTGAATGTGTGCCTTGTGTGTGTCTACAGATATACCAGTATATCCAGAGCAGGTTCTACAGGTCACCAGAAGTGTTGCTGGGGATCCCGTATGACATGGCCATCGACATGTGGAGTCTCGGCTGCATTCTGGTGGAGATGCACACAGGAGAACCGCTCTTCAGCGGATCAAACGAGGTCAGTCTCCAACCCATACCTTGTCCTGCGGGACCCATATATATATGGGTTACACATACATTTGTACAGTACCATCTATATAGTGCCCTGTATATGTATAATTTGGGGATACTTCTCGTGCAACGCATCACACTGCAGCGCAACGGATGCGGTAGTAACTGCGCCACCGCAGGGCAAAAAAAAAGTCAAGGATCTGTGACTTGATTAAGGCTTCAAATTATTTGAAAATATTGTGCAAAAATTGCCAGCAGGACAAGAGTTAATACCCAGTATTCTGAAAATCATGATTTTTGGGGGGTACTTTTATATTCACGGTTTTCGTGGTCACGTCTGTACAGCGAACTTATCATTACCGCGAACAAATAATTCACTGACGTATAGTACTGCGAACATGTCCATTTCTCTGAGGCCGCAAAGAGATCAAATTTTCAACGACCACTCTTGCCTTCATCAGGAAAATTAATGACTAATCACTTCCAAACATAAACTCGCAGTTGTTACGGTTACAGACACGTCACCTCATTCACACAAGACTTTACCAATACGTGACATCAGCAATTGATCAAATGTGCCAGGGAGTTTATATATTGTCTACCGTCTCTATTAAGTGATGGCTGGAGACCTCAATTTTGTAACCAGCAGTTTCCTCTTTCATCCGGACTGTCCGACACTTTCTTTATCTGATAAGGAGGTCGTCTTAATTAATTCCCCTGTCACGTTCCCTCAGGTTGATCAGATGAACAAGATAGTGGAAGTGCTGGGCATTCCTCCGGCCCACTGCCTGGACCAGGCACCCAAGGCACGCAAGTATTTCGACAAGCACCCAGACGGGACGTACAGCATTAGGAAAAGCAAGGACGGGAAAAAGGTAGGATTTCCTGTCTCTACAGCTCCATATTAGAGCTGGACATATGTATGAACATGGATTGTACAACTTACTTACCTACTTATTTACGTATTTGTTGTTTTGTTTTAGTTTATGTATAATCCGTGCCCCTCAACCTTGTCAAAAAGCGGCCTGTCAACTGAACAAGCAATCGAGAGAGCTGCTATAAGCATATTTGCTTTTGTCTGATTCTCTACAAATGTGAATAAAAATGCACTGATGGAATATGGGGATTTTCTTTTTCCATGACCTGCTTACATTTCGATGTCTATCAGGCAACTTCTGATTGGAGCACAGGTTGTGTAAAAGCAAATCCATGTATGCACTGATGTGCCAGTTACTCAAGCAACTGGATATGATTTTGGAAACGGTCAGACGTTTCAGGTAGCATCCAATACCTTTCGTCAGTGACACTTATAGTACAGACTATTGAATCTTAGTGTATTTTATTACCTGGATGTCTTAAACCTTCACTGACTCATGCACTTCTGTTTTCTCCCCCTCCTCTGTCTCAGTACAAGCCGGCGGGCAGTAGAAAACTGCACGACATCCTGGGCGCGGAGACGGGCGGCCCCGGCGGGCGGCGGATGGGCGAGGCCGGCCACAGTGTTGCAGACTATCTCAAGTTCAAAGACTTGATATTGCGAATGTTGGACTTTGACCCCAAGACGAGGATAACACCGTTCCATGCGTTACAACACAACTTCTTCAAGCGGACGGCGGATGAGAGTACGAATACCAGTAATAGTGTATCAACCAGCCCCGCAATGGAGCAAAGCTCAGGTGCAGGGTCATCGGCATCGAGTTCTGGTATTTTATTTTCATTCTTTGGTTCTGACTTTGCTTGCAATGGTTCCTTTCCCATTGCTTGATTTTTGCCTTTTCTGAGTTTTTGCCTCTTTTTTCCGTAAGGCCCACATTGTCTGGCTTTCGTTTTGCCTATTTCTCCATCTTTTGCTTTTCCATTTTCCTTTTGTGTTACCTTCTTTGCGACTTTTCCGATACTCATTTGCACGAGGCCCATGACTGTTCTGTCTTGTGCAGATTCAAGGTCTGTGGCTACTAACGTTAGCAAGTAGAGACTCACATTGTAAGTGGACTTTAGTACCTCCGTCCTAGTTGATTTTACTGAAATTTGGATGGGTCCTTGACTGGCTATCCTTCTGTATCTGGTGCCAGCATAGCTGATTGTCATTGCAATGACTGCAGTTTGGAAGACAATACCATTAACCAGAATAAGAATCCAAATTAACGATACCTACAGAAACCATGGTGCAGTGGGGAAAAGAAAGATTGCAATTCCTTTACAAAAGTTGCACCAATAACAAAAGTCTGTCAGTTCCATAGTTCGCAGATAGTTTTTGTGCAATTTTACGGAAATTTCAAACAGTTACGATTTGTCAGAAAGGAAATAAAGAAAATTACTGCTTAGCTTCATTTACATCTTCTGCATCTGTAGTTGAAAAGGTAGTATTGTAGTACCTCTGATTAAATCAGTCTAATACGGCTGGACAAAGACAGAAGTTCCAGACTGCAGAACATGAGACAACGTTGAGCCGACTCGCTCACTGTGCTAGCAGCGGGTACAGACGGGTAGCCAGTGCAGGACCCATCCCTTGTGTGCTTCATCTCTTCCTGGGACATGTTGTATTCATTTCACAAACGCAAAATAACAAGAATTCACACACACACGTGACCTCCTGAGGGTTGTTTCCCAACCATTGCCCTTTTAAGTATCACTAACCAGTACATTCTGTGGTGATTCATCGGTCTGCTTGGCAGGATATAATGGTCTACAGTTGTCCCATTCCATGATTATTATCTACGATATCTGCACACACTTGTTTTTTCTGTCCCTGTTGTCCTTTTGCATTATGTTATCCATTGCCTGGTTTCCATGTTCTGTGTTATTCTTTTACGTTTTCTAAAGTTTGGGCAACTTGCAGCTGGCCTGCAATTGCACCTGGTTTTGAAGGGAAACAGTGGGTTAAAGGGTGACGTTGCTAGGGGAGGAATGGGGCAGTAGTCTGCTGCATGCCACCTGCAAATTGTGACAGCTTTTTGTTCCTCCTGTTTGTGTGCTCAGTGTGTTGTCGGTTCTAACTGGTTGTTGTGCTCTGCAGGAGGAACCACGTCGGGCGCTCGTGCTCGCTCGGATCCCACGCACCAACACGGCCATCATTCGCACCACCACCCCCATCACTCGCATCACCCGCACCACCAAAATGTAACCATGGGACTGTCGACCACCACACAGGCTGCCATGGACTGCGATAGCCCCGGGTCGGCCCAGGCACACTCGCTGCGCACGGTGCACGTTCAGCAGCAGCAGCAGCCTCCGCCGCCGCCTCTGCAGCAGCAGTACTACCAGACGCAGCAGCAGCAGGCCAGGCCCTTGGTGTGGGGAGACCCGGCGTCCGTTACCATGGTCCCCAACAACGGGAACAGCATGCCGCTGGGGGTGTCGGGCCACAGACACCCGGTGGCCCAGCTGGGCGGGGTGGGCATGACGGGCGCGCACCAGTCGCCGTCCTCCAGCCACTCCACCCCGAGTGGACACGGACTGGTGGGGAGCGGCGGGCGCAGCAGCGGCGGGTCTAGACACAGTTCCTCCAACTCGTCTTCCAACTCGGCGTCGGGCGCGGCGGACGTGAACGTGAACACTTACCCCCAGCAGCCCTCGGTGGACTGCACCCCGGTGGGGTCCATGAACATGCAGCTGCGGACAAGTAGCAGTAGCAGTAGTAATTACCATGCAAACGCCACGGGTGCTTTCCCCTTCACGCTGGCTGCGACGCAATCCACGGTGGCGGGGGGGATGATGATGGGAGATCCGGCAGTGGCATCCCGCCAAGCACGAGATCAGACTGATTCGCCGATGGTGGGCGTTTGCGTACAACAGAGCCCCGTAGCAAGCCACTCTTGATGAATGTCTCAAATGTAATTCTGCCAATACAAAAATTTGTGTGTAGCTCATGTAAAATAGAAATTGTCAAGGGTGGGCAGCACCAGAATCAAATGATCTGCCCAAATTTAAAATAGCTCTATTTTTCTTGTACACATAGCTGTCCAATGTTGCTTGTTAGGTCGAACTATGTGAAAACAGTCTCACTGTACAGTATGTGCGAAGAATGTCAGTGTGGATGTTGTCTTTCAGGACAGTTTCAATACACTAGGACACTTTCGAAAGGATTGGAATGGTATTCCCCATAATACGGACATGTTTGTGAAAGCACGTGCGGTAAGCAAATGAGCGATGGTGCCATGTTAAGAATTGTGCAACTGCTGACGTCTTTGTGGATGGTTGCGCAAAGTGGAATTGTGTGCACAGCACCAAATAGCTCCCCTGTTGCATGTTGCAACAGTTTGTAAATACTTGTGCCTGTACAGTTTTAGTCTGTCCCAATCAGACAGATGTTGCCTGTAGTCCCATCTTCATTCCATTCAGCCATCACTAGTTGACCTCCCTAAACTTGTACAGTTTTTTTGCCCCCCAAAACCCCCCTCCCCCCAGTAGCTGTCATCTTTTTTATTCCACTGTCTGTTTGTAATCATATTTATTTGATGTGTTCTGCCCCGTAAAAGGGCAGCAATACAAGAAAGGAAAAAATTTTGTCGGTAGCTAGGTGACCTACTAGTGGGTCCACATTGCTGAAGATGGATTTAAGTCAACTGTGATTAAATTGGACCTGGTTTTTATTCACGCAGAGGAGCATCCTGTATTGCTAGCCAATGCTGCTCAAACACACAAGAAAAAAGGATGCCATATGTCTTCGGAACCAGCGTCTATTATTCATTTCGTGACATTGCTGTCTGGAGCCCCCCTCCCCCTAAAAAATTTGTAGATGATTTTTTCCTACAAAAATCAGAGGAAATATTTTTTGTCCGTTTTAAAATGATGGTAGAATTGTACTAGAGTAATTTTAGACCTGTACAAAGGGATAATTTTGCTGTAATTTCTGCAGGAGATGTCAGTCCACGGTAATTTCTCCTTGGCAAATGCCTAGCAATTTTAAACGTCTGTACAGTATGAAGAAGAAGAAGAAGGAAGTTGCACTGTACAAAACGCTTGGCTGTCACTGTAAAATGAACGCCTCCTTTTTTTCCCTCCAGAGAGTGCATGTATAATTGTACCAGTAGTGTTAATTTCAGAAGTCACACTCAAGTCTAACTTTATGATAGGAATCCACATGCAGCGTACTGTATGTTCCACTCGGAAAAATGGAAGCGATCAATCAAATTAAACCAGACAAATCACACTTGATGAGGCCAAGCAATCCCTGGTTGTTGTGTCTTCTCTTTACTTCTGTTGTTTGTCACTCTTACTACTAATAGGATACAGTAAGGCTATAATCTCCAAGCAGATGCAGGGTGCTGGTCAGTGTTGAGGCTAATTTTATTCCTGTTTCTATTGGTATTTTTCTTACTTCTATTAGGAACACTCTAAAACCGAGCCCCATCTCTCAACTGCTTGGAGATTATAAGGCTAGTCCCATTCAAAACCCACCAGGTCCTTGTTCTTACATACTGCACTTTGCCTACTTCTCTGCACACAACATGTATAAGCAATACAATGTAGTCTGCCTTCAAGTTATCATAAGGCCACACCAGTTTCATTTGTTGGTTCCCGGTTTTTTTTTTTAGAAAAAATATGAAGCGACTTTGTGAAAAAAATTAAAAACAGACCTTGTCATCCTCTGATAACCCCCAAAGCTATGATTGGAGCCATGAAGTCAACATACCAAGCTGGTACATGTATATAATTCAAACAATGAATTTTAGTTTAAACTTTTTAGCAAACCATTGCATTGATAGATTGAAAAAACAACTGGGAAGACAAGAAGCTTGTTTGAACTGTCCAAAATATGAACATTTTGAAGTTGATTCAGAAACAGAATATTTTTTATTAATGCAAATCACAAAATGAAGCAGGGGAATCTGAGAACCAATTAATTAAATTGGTGTGGTCTAAGATTGATGCCACCAGTTTTCAGTCCACTTTTCATGAATTGAAGCACACATTAACATAGTAACTTAGTAAGCAATGTGTACCTATTTAGCCTTAAAGTGCATGACACCAAAATACATTTTCTTATCATCTCCAACAGATATATTGCAAGTCAATGAATATAAAGATTTACACCACACAGACCCTTTTGATAGTATTGAACATAGGACCACAAAGAACTAGTTATCCTGCACACGTACAATCAACAAATGCACAAAAGCTCCGCTGTAGTATGGTTGGGAATTCCGGAAAAGCCAGGTGGACCATTTTTTTTACTTTTTTGACCTTGAACTACATTTTCACAACAGCTACCCACATGCCAAAGATTTTTAAAAATCCACCCACAAATACTCGAGTTATAACGTTGACCTAAATACGGAGACACGCCAGAGCTGGTCACCAAAAATCATACCTTTCTGACGAAAGCAATCATGCTTCCAGATCAGCTCTTGATTCCTGCCACCAGGTAATCCATTTTATATTATTCCGACAGAACCTGGCACCAGGGGTTGTGAATAACGTTATTTCGAAAAGCAAACAATGCGTATCAAGAGTTCCACGATCTCATACCTTCGCCAAATAATGTTAACCGTTCGGACTGACGAAATTATATATTTTTCACACTGAAAATAAGATCCTCATTTTTATCACGGATTATATCAGTCGATCATATTCTCCACCCATGACATTCAAATTGGGTCTTTATTTACATATCTAACAATGTTTCGCTCTCAATGGTCCCGAAATTGGCAGATGTAAATTATGTAAATGAAGATCTAATTTGCATAATTGATGGGAGATTGCTATAATATCTTAATACTGGTAACTGCCCGCAACATGCTATCCTGGGAGCCAAAATGGTAAGGCCGAGAGCACTGCAAATGGGCACATCGACGACAACGGTCGGTCAAGTGAACAACTGACTATGAACTACAAAAAAATCTAATTGACACCATGGGATGGATCCTTATAATCATGATTGTGAGGCGACAGAGAATGTCTCAACAGTACAGAAAATTTCTGATAGTTACCCAGTATGTGGTAGTCGGGATACTCAATGAGAAAACTACACAAAGAATGGATTTCAAAGTATAGATAGCCATGTTGTTGCTTGAAGATGATAATAATTGTGCATTGTACCATGTTAATGTACAATTCTTTTACATTAACATTGTAGTTCCATGATTGTCACAAGTTACAGTGAACAGTATCTACGGTGGATATTCTTACTAGTTCTTTAATTCAATCTATAGCTAGATTCAATTTAACCCGAATGTCATAGTGGTAAAATGATAGTTCATATTACTACTCATTTGATGCAGGTTTCTCAGGCAATTTGCGTTATAGATAAACGACAAGGTTGGTTGTGCTATATCTATGCTACTGTTGTAGGGGGTAGGACTTGTGTCACATCTGGTATCATTAACACGTGGTTGCTTTGACTGTACTGCTGTGTTAACAGCACATAATACAGAAAATAAAGTTCCCTACCAATGACAGTTTGTGTGACACGTGTTTCTTGTGTGACACGTGTTTCTTGTGTATGTTTACTTTAGTGGGAAACTGAATGTTGACGTGTACATGCTACCTTTGCTTCAGGATTTGAAGCATTGTTAGCCAACATTAGACATGCTCGAAGTTAACCTGCAAAATGTCTACTATTAGCAAAAACTGCAGCAGAGTGTTTCAATAGATGTCAATGAGCTACAAGAGTTTTATCTTGTACAAACGGTACGGAGAGATACTTCGTGAACATTGAAATAGCAAAACTGTTGACGAAAAAGCTCCTAATTCAGCCGCTCGTACAGGCCGTTCTAGAAATATTTGGCTCAAGATGAACAGATACAAGAGTACAGTACGCGGAATTTCTGATAAATTCACGATATTTAGGTATATATTCAGGGTTAGTCTCAAGGTCAGAACAATAGCAAGAAAAACTATATAACCTCCATAAGAGCCTAACTCGTTTCCCAACTCGCGAAAATACCGAAATCTGGGAATGAGCTAGGAGGCTTTCTTCCTTTGCGAGATACGGACCCTTTCCGAACGGGTGCTCCAAAACGAGGGTGTGATAAGGGATGGATTTCCGCTTTTGCAATTTAAATTTAGAAAAATATTCTCTTTTTTTCAGAGTATACTCCTTATGGTCATTATATTCTTTTCCCACTAATTGCCTTCCCCAAAATTTGCTGCGTTCTGAAGTTATACTGCAAAAAGTGATATTACGATCATCTGACCATTGCAGAATTGGTCAATGTCTTTGGGAAGTTTTCGCTGTCCAATATATTACCATATGAATAGAAACCATGGCCAAGCAGATGTCTGGAGGGACGATCGTATAGATTTTCATAGCTTGGGGTTGTTTATTTCTGATCAGCTGTAGTTATTTAACATGCGCCGCGCCGGAGTCGACTGCTGTTTTCTTCCACAAATGGCAACTGGAAGAGTGAAGCTATTCAACAGAGAGAAGGTTTGTGCGACTGAAATACTGGCAATTGTACTCTGAAGCCTTTGCTTATGTCTGTTGTCCTACAGAAACCGCATGATGCTGGCAAAATATATGCCGGTCTGCCTCCATTGCACCACCTGTTGTTGAAAGAGCTGAGCCATGGATCAAAAGCGCCCCTAGGCGGCCATAAACAATCACTGCAGTAATAGGAGTGGCGCAGCCAACGTTACGGTGCAGTCCTGCTCGCTTTTGATCCATGCACACCGGTTTCGTAAGTTTCGTAAATAATAGTACTCCCTGTGAGCCTGTTCTAAATAAGCGCGGGGGGAATATAGGGTTAGAGCCATTATTTTTATAACTTAATTTGCCGTTAACAGATAAATGGTGGTCTGGTTGCATTGAAGTAGGAAGGGAATTAGGTGATTTATAGCAATTTTGCTAAATTCATCGCAAACGTAGGAAAACGATGATGATTAGGCTTTGAGAATTCTTTTCTAACCCCTATCAAGAAATCAGACATGGTACCGTCCGTTCCACCAGGTGTTCGTGCACTAGGGCTGCGGACCGGTACACTGTACCGGTCCAATACCGTAAAAATCGTTTCGGTACAGGTCCAAAATACCGGATCATGAAGTAACGAGTATATACCGAAATAGCTAGTTTACACCATGTATATGACTAAAGATAGGTAAATCCTACCACAAAGACGAAAAATTAGCACTGGAAAAGACGTAAACACCGTCGATTGATTTGAGATCCTCAGTCTCACGAGACATCGCGAGAGTGTGGCTGATCCAGGGTTGTATGTGATTGGTCAACAAACTCAAATCAGGCAGAGGTCAGTCATTTTCCCTTCCCTTCCTCACCTTCCCCCCCACGTGTTAATTTGTCAAATTGTTCAGGTACAGGTACAGGTCCGGACCTGTACCTAAACCTCTGTACCGGTACCTGTACCTGTACCTGATGTTACGTTTAGGTACGCAGCCCTATCGTGCACGCTGTCGTGCCGCGTGCCGCGTGGGATTTGGACAGCCAGGCATAGGAACACAACATTTTGGGTAAAATTCTGGCTTCTGGCTAGCAAAATTTCTATCGTAACAAGTTTGTCAAGTCTTTGGAATGCTTCCTTCGTGGATCGAAGCCCGTCTTTGGACGTTTGAGGGAGAAATTGTGGATTTCCTGACCAAGTATTAAAATTTCGGACAAGAGTTGAAAATGGCGACCGGACGGCGCGGCGTGGTGTTGGAAAGACTCCTTTTTATAAGGTAAGGCAACAAACTATCTCGTTAAATGTATAACAACAAACCCGTAACTACAAATGACGTATATTCTGTGGAAACTTGTGTGTTTTCTGCGTATTTTTTGTACTTGTCCATGATGTATAAATTTTCGCTTTTATTCACCGTTCTCGTGCCCATCTCTTGCTTTAGCCTTTGAGTTGTTGTCCTTGCTGGAGAACTGAATATATTTCTCCCGTGTTGAGTGACATGGAGTGAAACTATGGGCTAATTTCGGTGGTGGAAAACTGGTATGAAAATGTTTTAATTTGTTTGAAACTCACACCGGCGTGCTCGGCCACCACCTGGACATAATTAAACCCAATTTCGCGCCAAAATGCCAAAAATGGCGCGTAAGCTCCAAGCAGATGCAGGGTGCGTGTCTGTGTATTTAGCCCAAAAAGTTGATTTGAATGTCATATGATATTTTTACTCCCCGTGGAGCCCATTTTTCTCTGTACATTCATGTTTAACATGTTCATAAACATTTGTATTTTGGGCAACTTCCCCCCAAAAAAAATTCAATCCATGAATT